TTAACCGTCCCCCACTCTGTGCTCTGCGTTGAGGCTGTCTGCAGCCGGGGCGTCAGTATTTGTTTGGCTTCCCCTCGCCTCTCTGTTACCTGTCGTCTGGATACGTCTTGAGAGCCCCGATTGTTCCGTGTCGTGACCATCCTATGATAAGAATATTCTTAACACAACATAAGGGACTGGCAAATCTATGTGGCGGTTAACTAAACAGTCGGTCGACATCCAAGTTTCTTTAATCTGCCTTGAGGTGTGATCGTCACATCAGTCCGCATTTTCGACGGCGTCAAAATGCAGCATGCGTGGCTACCTCCGACTTATCTACCTATTATATACAATTTAGTAGGCGTATTTATGGTTATTAATGCACTAAAAAACACGGTCATCGTTAGCTCACTGTGAGTACTTTGACGCTCATTTATTTCAGTTTTATTTTAATTTTTCATGTATTTTTTAGGTTAAAAGTTTAATTTTAGTTATAGTTTTAGTTAGCTTAATTTTTAAATTCAGTTTAGTTTTTTAAGCAATACACGGTTGGTTGTCGGCTTAAATTACAATATGTGCCTAACTGCAGAAGAAGCTCTCATGAGTTTAGAAAATGGGGGAAAAGCATATCTTTCATGGTTTTTATTATAATTTCTACACTTCTATATAGAGTCGATGTTGCTTTGAAGCCCACTTGCAACTTCCTCTTATGCAGATATTGGTTCCTATTGGTTGCATTTGTTATTTAAATTATCGCGCGAAAATGTTTGTCTATTGAAATAATTATTTTCTATTATTTTCTGCTTTTATAAGCTAAGCATTTTAATTTATTTTTTCTTTCCCGTGATATGACCAAAACATAAATCCCCTATAAGCTTCTGTACGACACAATGATGGTGCTAGCGATATCTAAGCCACTCGGTATATGAGAATGTTGCCATATTTTTATTTGAATTACATAGGACGACGTGAGATGAAGTTATTTACAGATGCAAAGTCCTATATTACAAGTAATAGGCGGATTCCGGTTACAGTTGTTCAAGTCGAACTGGCAAGAGATTTGTTCTGAAGATCTTGACGCTGAGGGCTATTAACTGACCTGCTAAAAACCCTCTTAGTTGAACTGAATGTCTTTCTTTTATGGCTTTTTATTTCGATTTGGGCCAATGCAAAATTTAATTTGACTAAAGTGGACTACGTTTGTATTTTTAAAGCCACTGGGTCTGTGCCTATTTACTCTCTCCCAATTCTGCCTTGCTTTTGGAGTATGATGAAAATTGGAAGAGTGAGATAGTTACAGGACAAAGTTTCCCCACTTAAAACAACTGTTAAGGTTAAGCCACCACTGGACCTTCTGGAAGACATAATTGAACCTCTGTGAGAACGCGTTTTTGGCTACAGCTATCAAGGTATAAGACAACTTATTAGTCCTTGCCCGTTGATTTTGCCCGGCAACAATTATCATCTCCTCCTTCTTCTGGGTTTGGAAAGGAAAGCTTAGTTAATAAACATGCCTTCGTGTAAGATGCTCAATTTTCCCTATTTCGTGTCGCACCCAGTCCTAAGTGTCAGAGACTTCGTCAAAAACAACAGAAATTTTGGCCTCTATCCAGTTCTTCCTTTTTGTCACGCCCTTCATAACGTCTCCCTGCCTGTACCAGGCACCAGCACTATAAATTAAAAGAAACCTCCGAACATCAGTTGAAATTTTAAACATGAACCCATTTGGGGAGTTCCTACTGGTACAAATAAACTCAGCTGGAGACTTACTCAACTTCACCAGAAAACCGCTGTCCATGGAACTGATGGCTTGCCTACCACTCTCTCGTGGAACTGCGGATCCGAATCCGCCTCTGATGACGCCAAATGAGGTTGTTTACATTGTTTTACTGGGGAATGGGGTAGAGGGTCAATCAGACTCAGCAAGTTGAATACATTTCTAATTCGGGTATTTAAGTAGTAAAAAGATAAGACACTTAAGTTTGCTTTTAACGAAGGTACAAAGACAGTTCCCACCTAATTAGTTAGAAGTTAATGCGCATTTTTAAACAAAATGTCTATCTGAGAGGTTTTTTGCTTTTCATAAAGTTCAAAATATAATTTTCTAAACGTTCGACAATTCTGCAGAGGACACTTGTGTCCCTACTATGTCACGCATGTTGTGATCACACATTTAGTTTCAAACTAACGTATGGAGTGGGTTACTTCCTTTCGTGTTTTAGGGATGTGCATCTGCAGATCGTACCTCACATAATTCCAAATAAAGTTTCGTTTAAATAGATGAGAAGGCTTGAAACGCAAAATAATTTTTGCTAGGCATTATAGATGCTATCCGTAGGTGATGTCTCCGACAAGCTTCAACTAGCAAAAATCTAGGCACTGACCTGGAGACTTATCTGTGAATGAGGCGGTCTCCTCCAGATTATACAACAACGACAAAATATAGCTTAAGTCACGATGATTTACATGAGTCAAATATTCGCTGAATCCAGACTATCAGTAGGTATGAAAGTGCTTTGAATATAAATATCAGATAACGGCGGACTAACCCTTGAAAGCGAGATCTGAGATGCTTTTTCTAATTCATTATAAGCCTTTGCTTTTGATATTGCTATAACACTGTCTCTCTCTTGTGTGTTTATATGATGAAATGAGATTAGAAGGTCTTTTGTTATATTCCTTCGTTTGATATTATAACAATCGTATTTTTAGTAGCTTACTTACATTCACCATCAAATTTCTAAACTTGTAAAAATGGTGTTTAGTCATAAGCAAAACAACACTTCACTTTTGGACATCTAATCGATTTTTTCGAAACAAATACATCGTAATTGGCGCAGTTATATGCAACACTTAAAAATGACCATTCCCTTATAAGTATATTTAAACTTCTGGCTGTTTTGCCTCATGTTTCGGGCTTTAAAATCGCAACTGTTTATGTCTCCAAACTCTCAAAAGCACTGCGCTTGTCTTTTTTCATGTGGTTACTAATTATGCTACAAAACCATTGGTTATACGGGACTTCTAATCTCAAAAAATTGGTAGCGATAGCCGTGTAAGATAGTTGTTAAAGGAACTTTGGTCCCCTTATTTTTCCTTTGAATAACCTCATCCGATATGTTTACGGATTGAATTTTGTGGAGAGAATATAATAACAAAAGTGAGCATAACTGAGGCTTTATATGGAAAATATATTATTTCTTCTAGCGGCTACAAAAACAGCTAATCATGGTTTAAAATAGAACTTACCGTCTGACTTAACATGGACAGAGTCGTTTCTATGCTATCAATTGCATTTTTTCAAAGTTTATTGTTTAACTGTCTAGGTTCTTGTGGTGTTCATCCTCCTATTTGTCACCGCATTTATTGTTGACCGGATCGTGTTCTTCTTTACGAAGCTCATGGCAAGATTTAGAGTAAGTCGGATTGCGATTGTTGTCGGTGTCTCAGATTTGATTTGCCTTATCTCTATAGTCTTAGCTCTTATCTGGTAGTGAACATTCCAAACAAACACAAGCAACAGCTTTTGAATTTTGTGAAATAAAACCAAAATGGATGCTCCTGGATTCAGGCATTAACACATTTAAAATTTTTGTTTCTTGAAACTTAATTCAATTTCGCAGAAGAAAACGCCCGCTTTCACCACGCTGTTTGTTGCATTTCAGCTGCACAAAACAAATCTCACCTTACTTTGTTGGCCATCGTTACACGAATCATTTGGTTAATTGTTTCACCGATGCACTTTGAAATTTTTCTAATGCAGTGCGGGAAAATTGCCTGTCGACAATCAAAAACATCAGAAAAGCAAGTTAAAGAAGAAAAATAGTAGGTTTTTCATGTTTTCAGAAACTAACAGTTAACTTGGATTATATCAGTATGTTCAAAGGCATACAGGTGCAGACCAAATTTTAGGTCGAACTCGATCACCCACTGCAGGATAACCACGTAATATTTACAAGCCGTCAAAATTTAGTCAGCACGAGTACTATCGCCATTATTCAACCAACTTGCAAAATAGGTTCTAGCAAAAATTCCAGATACGTGCTTTACGGGTATTCTGCTGTTGCATGACAGAGCTGCGAGGGATAAGGCTCACCAACGGGCCTTTCAGAATTCCTCATGTTCTTCCTGGTAGATACTCCCCTATCTTTTTATATTTTTAATTTCCTCATAAATCAATTTTTAAATTGTAGCCGATCGCTATACTCACAGAGCTGTAGGCGCCGACTGTATTTTCGTGTAAATATTTGGGCCGAAGTCCATCGGCCACTGCGCGATAACTACGTAATACTTATAAGATTCCAACACGCGGTCGGTAGTATAATTAACGAAGTCACTTACTAGACTGATAGCAACTAATATTCCAAAGTAAATCGACTGCTTCATTATAGTTGGTTAAGGGGAAAATTTCGAAGTTTTGAGGTTTGTATCTCATATTCCTTGTTTTGGATAGACCATATTTCGCATTTAAATAAGTCAGCAGAAGATTACATTACTTTCAATATGGATGAAAGAACACGCAACTTGATGTGAATTATTATGCATGAACACTTTAGGTACTCGGTAGAATTAATTATGTCAAAGCTCAGAGGTCTTAAAATCCTATATATTTTTTGCTCGCTTATATAGCCGATACCAGCGCAATATCATATTCCTTATATCATGGCAATCCGGCAGGATACATCTATTGATTTTAATAGTTAGTTATACTTACATTTTGCCGACCGAAAACTTTACTTATTTGTTTTAATGATTTGTCAGCTAAATAAGCTTCACTAACAATCGTTAAAATTAACATTAATTTACTTATAAGAATTATAGGCGAGCACTTCTTGCTACACCTATGTAAGGTTTTCAGTCGTCTCTGGGCGTGCTTTTCGAATAATTCCTGGTAAAGGCCACTTGAAACGAATCTCATCAACTGCCATTTCCGTTGTCACGAACGGCGTCCCCTAGAGTTCGCCCTTAAAACTTATCTACCTGAAATAATAAGCCTTCCTTTTACTTTTCAGACAGACCAGGACTTGAATGCGGGAACAGGAAACCTGGGCTTGACAATTTCAAGTCTTGTTTCTCAGTTAGTTCACCCCACACTCATTCTGAATTCTGTAGGATTTGCCCAATTTGTGAGTCCCGCGTCCCCTTGGCACGTCTTTCCTTAAAAGTGTGAAATTTAAGCCAATTCATAATTCCAACGGGATTGTAAGTAAGTAGTAAGCGAAAAGGCGGAAAAAAATTAGTCGGACAACTACAGCAAACAGAATCGCAAACCAGTTGCCTCCCGGACCTTAACCAGTGAGCAAGCAGAAAACACTATTTGTTAGCCTTCCATTCAAATACATACTATTGCTTTAGTGGTGAGCTGAATTTTCCGCTGTTTTTCCATTCATGTTAGTCACGACAGTTGTGCATTCGAATGAAGACAGATTTTCCTGAGATCAGCATATTTTGCGATTGTCCTTCAGCAGCTACCTATCGTATTGAGGAATATTGTCTGTGGGAAACCTAGAAAAGGATGGATCGAAATACCGAAGTACTCTCAGTTCAACTAGTAACCTTGTTGATATTACAGTCAAGGCACTACTCCATGGCCAAACACATAATAAGTCGTGATTCAAAGTGAACTCGTTAATTTAGCATGAAATAGGTCTCGCTATTTTGATTCGATGAGTGAGCTTGATCCCAAAAAAACTTTTTTATTATAGGAAGCTGCTTGTTTAGCTCTTTTAGTTAAGGAAAACAAGTAAAATTTCGGCGAAATCAGAGGTTGCTGGATAGCTAACAAAGTCCATATGATATTAACAAGGTGTCCCAAAAATGTATACACATTTTACCTATTTGTAAAATTGGGGCTTATCATAATTTTATTATTTAATTAAATAATAATTAATTTAACGGGTATCATTTTTTTGTCTTTTCACTGAATGTCCTCAAAACGAACATCTATTTTGATTATGACACTTCTGACAACGCGAAGCAATGGAACATCGGATATTGTGAAACACTTCCCTTGGTATTCGGGTGCATTCATGTTCAGTGGCTTCTCTCAATTCAGCCGTTGCTGCAATAGTCAAACTTTTGTGAAGAAGACAATAAAATGATAATTTTCAATATTTTTGCGTGTTTGAAACACTAAAATGATAAAAAAGCCACGTTTAGCATTACATAATATATATAAGTTTCTCTGGGGTACCCTGTAATTTAATCGACCCAAAGGTCATATCTTTGCGCGTTGTGTTATGGGAGAACACCCATATAAGCAGTGGAAACGGACAATTTATCCATGTATGTCAAACAAAATCTACATTTTTGAAAACAAATCTTGCAAACGCAAACAATCACTAAATATTTTCTGGAATTTAAAGGACGACCTGAGTCTCACAGTACTGGAATACCTGGAATATCTGTAACGAAATTGGACGACAGGAAAATTAATTTAATATAAGGAAAATAACATAGGTATGATTTCACCTGACGATTAAGTTTACATCTTTTGATCAATTTTAAGCGATTTTACCCGTAAATGGAACTTAATGCTCCTTTAAAATGTAGGCATTTCCAAACAAAAACGATCATTTTTATATTTTTCATTTATTATATTCTTACATTACTTTTCTCCCGCTTAAATTACATTACATTTAATGATCACCACATGCTACACAGCAGGCTGAAAGCAAGGGTAGTGAATTGAGGCCGAATTAGTTTGAAGTGATTGCAGACTGACGCGATAGCATCGATAGCCTGCCCTCCCCTCCTCTTCCTAGTTCACTGCCATCGTCAAGTCAAGTAGATCGGAGGCGGGGGAAGTCGGTGTTGGTTGGAGCTGCTCCTTAGCCTGCCGCCACACCTGGCTCGGATGCTACAATGTTGAACGCGATAGGAAGGAGGCACTGAAGCCTGATTGCCAGTCCGTCAGTCCGCCCCTTCATACACTGGGTTGACCGCGCAGACCAAGTTATCTGTCAGTTAGCAGCTTTTCAAGTCACGGTTTTTAGCGTAATGTGATAGCCTTAAGCGTAGCAGATAGTTTTATAACGTGCGAGCCTTGCTGAGCTGTCGACTTCACTCTGAATTCCCATTTTCACGCCTCAGCCCCTGTCTGATTCTGTCCTTGGCCTTGGAAATGCTTTGCCGAAGAAGGAGGAATGACGGGAATTCTTAATAAAATCACTTGTAAACCGCAAGAAAAAAACGTGTTTCTGGAGTCAAAATTAAGGAGTTCTTTGTGTCTTTTCCCAGTACGGCATCATCGGACCAGTCGTTTTCGCCCTCTTCCTCTCCATTTCCGCCTCAGTATTTGCGTTCATCCTCCTTGAAATGCGCATCAAGGCACCGGGAGCAAAAACCTATCCCCAGATTGTGAGAAGCCGGTTCGGCAAGGGTGCTCACATTATCGTCGTGGGCATCTTCATGGCGGCTGACGTCACAAACTACGTCGTTGTCACAATGAGTATGAGATGTGTCTCCTTAAAAATGCCTTATGTCGGAGACATACCATTTTTCAAAATTTACGTACTTAAGGAAAACTTACCTTATTTTGGTTTAGAACTCTGTCCTCACTGCTTCATTTTGCACCATTTCTTTGTGGCCGATATTTCATGTAAAATGCCAGAGTTTGCGAAAGATTGCGACATCAACTAGGATTGTAATACTGCTTACCGTGCAGCCTAATGCTAAGTTATGCCGGTTGCGTCCGGATGCCGGCGTTTGAACGAATGGCTATTTTAGTGGTGTGCATTTAACGACCTTTATAAAGTCACACATATTTTACAGAAAACATTCACAGTATCATTCTTTCTTGTACTTTTTGGTAGCACCTAACACGTTCTTAAAGTCCAGATACGCTAAAAGATGATTATTTTAATCATAAAATAAATGACCTACTTTATCGACTATTTTCTCTTTTTTTTACGATGAGAATATAGATTTTTGCTAGACCTTGAAACATATCGCACCTTGTTACATTTGTGCTGAACTGAGCTGCATCGGAATTCATCTCATATTTAGGTCATTAATGAAGCGAATAGAAGAGCAGTTAAAAAGGTTCTTGAGAGTTAGTTCAACGTTATAATTTATTGTTACCCCTAGCGATTCTCTAAAATGAGATAGAAATCAATTTGATATGGGCGAAGTAAATAAACTGAACTACTTAAGATAACAACAAGATTGCCAATATGCGAGTTCCAGGAAGCAGTTCAGAAGAAGAAGATGCAACCACCGGAACAAGAGTTTCAGTGGTTGCACCTTCTTCATCTGAACAACAAGATTCTCACTTAAATCTGCAAGGGATTCGGAAAATTGATACGTCCTCTCAGCATTCTTTGAGTGTTTATATTCTACCGCATTTAATTTCCAAGGTGCTCAATGAGCGCATCTGGAGTAAATTCCTTCTGAACAAATGTATGTTGCCTGTTGATGTCACGCGGCAATTTTCTAGTTTCTGACAGATTTCAGCCTAAATATTCCTATACACTCTCGGACCACCCGCAAGAAAGTTTTTTTCGAAGGATATCTCGAAAGTTGGCGCATTTAAGTTCTTCAGCTATTAAAAAGGGCAGGCTTTATAGTTAATTTAACTTCGCATCATCTGCCACATCGATTCCACGTCTGCTTGAATTGTTTTATTTAGTTACTTGGAAATCTCGAAGTACTTTCGTCCCCTATGAATTATTCGGGGACAGAGTTAGGCGTACGTGATGCATCTTTAATCAAAACGCTATCTTCATACTTGCCCTAGACATGTGCAGCCATTGCAGCATTATCATTACTCGTTTGGTGGTTTAAAGAATAGTTCACAGAAGTTCAAAGGTCAATATTCAATTTTCTCTCTGCATTCCTCTTTTTTATATTAATTAGAGCAATTAATAATCACTCAGGACTGGAGTAGATTTAAACCTCTGCAATTTTCACTACTTGTCAACAGATGGACTTCACGCGATGATGTCCGTTTCATTGGAGCCTCACAGGGAGCGACTTATCGTCTATCTATTCATCGCCATCTGCTCTTTCGTGATTGCCTCTCAGCTTGGAAGTTTCCGGGTTATTATGGCTACGATAGCCGTGTTCATCCTTGGCCTCTGCACTGTCCTCATGCTCTCTGTCTTCCATAATTCGGCCCAGTATCCTCTAGGTATTAGTTCTACCGCATGCTTACGTAGCCATATTTTAGCAAGTCTATATAAACGTGGGAAATGATCTCAGAAGGTTAAAACGCAAGGCAAACGAGGTTTCGTTGAAGATGGATGGTGCGACAGATCTCACTGGTAGTTAGCAGTGTTTGTTGGTCGCATAGGCTGCCTTTCGGTAAATTGGTGGGTGCTGGAACCGTAGTCGTCCCGTTCGTGCTTTGTATGTCGTTTTTCTTCTACTTGGTCTGTATGTCCAATGTACTTGTCTGGATCACAAGTATGGCGCCACCGATTTACCACATTGGCACATTATTGAGAGAACCATGTAGGAAGCAAATATAAGTGATCATTAGCACACTGGAGAGCGCAGAATCTTCCAACGTTGTCGCCGTGTATAATAGGCTAAATGCAACGGTTAAACAGGCGAACGAAGGAAGTAATATGAAGATTCTAGAGGAAATCTCAATTTATTAGGGAAGCTTCATTAAAGATGTAAGAATATGCCCACCGTTGTTGGCATAATTATCAGCCTTCCAAGGCATTGTAGCAGTTTACCGTTGATTTTTCGAGGAGGAGATTGCATTTGCTCTTATCCTTGATCGCCTTTTGGCCTCTCTTTTAACGTCTTAACCCGAGATTCTTCCTTGAGAGCGCTGGGTGCATTGTGCTAAAACAATAGTCGCAATTGCATGATTTCTGTTTTTGTAGTAACCCCTTCCATATATTCGCAGTTAAGTAAATTCCTTAATTCCATTGAATATACTTCTTTATCCCTACAACACCCAGCGCTGGTGCAATGGACAGTTTTTTTTAATAAACTGACCTTAACGCGTCAGAAAAGCTAAGAAAACCACGATTAAAATGAAAACAAATAAAATAGATCGTGCCCAGTATTTTACTCCGAAGTCTTCGCTATGAACTCATAAAGGCTGAATATTCAAAAACTTTTGCCCTTCAATATCGTTGGCAAAACATTTTGTATTGTTAATTTAAACGATTCATTTAAAACCTGCAAGGTTTTTAAAAATGAACCACATTGAAAAAGCATCTTTCGCGTGGTGTCTGCTTGTAAATCAATAGGGCTTTCTTTCTGAACTACGAAGTATTAAAAAGTTTAAATAGCAGATTGGAAAACAACTGCTCAGTAAATGGGATTCTCTTTTAGCTATATAAAATCAAAGACGGTTACTTTGCATTAGGCTCTGCAGATTTATTTTTTCCTGTCGCTAATCTATTTAATTTAATTTTCTTGTTTTTAGGGACCATAGATCGCGTCTACAAACTTCTGCGGTGCTACGACGAAAGGGTGCCATTCCCACATGTGGAGCCCTTGTCCATTATTAAGCACAGATCGGTAGTTGCGACCATACTTACCTCAGCAGGTACGTTGCGTTCTGTTTGTTTAGACTTTGCCCGCACAGTGAAATCATGCAGGTGTCAATGTTCCTTTTACATACCAGTTACCACCGTTGGGAAGTTGAGATATTTCCTTTGAAACTTCAGCTGATTCGCATCCTTGGAGACAGTGATCAGTGAACAAACTCCACGCACTTATAGGGCTGGAATACGGTATTCACACTTGACAGCAGTATAGTAGACTTCGTCTGTCGTTTTTCCACGAAAGTCAGCACTGAACCCTAAAAAATGCATGTAGAGGGGAGTCAGACTACCCATCTCCTCTCTCCTATTCAGATGCTATTTGAGAAGTCATAATACATGGAATAGTGTGGAGGCAAAGTAGCAAGCTGCGTTCCTCGGGGTATGTTTTTGTCCTTTGGACCCATATTCGGGATGTCTTGTAGAGTTTAGTCGGCCTGAGAGCATGCCTTTATGCATTTCTTTACGAAAGGTCTCGCATAAATATCCAAGGCTTATTTGAATCAATATCAGTATCAGTATATTGAGGGATATGCAGGTAAAATTCCTTTGAGTTCCCTATTTGTACATATGTGTAGTGGTAGCAGAAAAACTTTATCTCAGACTGTTGGCGAGGCCAGTGGTCCTGAGTCATGGGGTGGAAAAATAGGAGCAGACAGTGAAAAAACTCCTTAGTGATTTTTAGGAGAAAAACTGTAGCTCTTGTAGGGGTAATGTGTGGGATTTAGGAGAAAAAAGAGAAAAAAACGCCCGATTTTGTTTGAGGGGGATTCAAAGGGGGGAGCACGACAAAGGTTCCCAGGATCATCACCGTGTGGAAGCTGCGACCTGATTCTTCCTTGTTGATTGCAGAGTCCGCCGACGGGACTGGAAAAGCAGGGACATCCGTACAGATCGTCGACAGTCT